ACTAGGCCCCGGCTTGTCGGGAGGGCCCAGGGCTCCATCACCGCCATGCACCTTCTGGAAGGGATCCACCGGGATGCGGACTGTCCGGCGCTAAAACCAGGATCACGACCTCTCTCAGTTTCGATCCTCATCAGCAGGTCTAGGCAGGAGGAGCAATGGTGGGAAAAGCGTACAAAAGGCTCCCCTGGCCAGAGAGTAATGAGCCAGAGCGGTCCTAGCCTAAGGCGGCTCGGTCCGCGGCCTGGAGGCGAACCAGGGACGGGCACTGTGCGTCTCTGCACTGGCGAAATGGTCGACCACTAGCGGCCGTACCTTCCGCCAGATCTCGAGATTACACGGGGGGCAGGCCCCACTCGCTGGTGTGGGGGGCCCCCCTGGACATCTGTCTGCCCCCAACGTTCCGGAACCCCGGGACGTGGGCGCCTGAGAGACAGGAGGTTGAAGCGACGCCCACTGCAGCGGTCATCCGTAGCCATGCAATGGAGAGCGGGGGACTGGTGCCCCTGCCTGTTCAGATAGGAGACCACTGATGGGGTTGTCTGAGCGCACACAACAGTGTCTCCCCTGACAGCTGAGGGGGCAAAAGAGGCAGCACGGACACCTGTGGATAGTGCTCCTCTCTACAGCAGGTTGATGTGACGGGCTGAGTCCGACAGCAGACTCCTTACATGAGCTCTGGCCGAGGGACCACCGCCACATCCTTCGACGCGACGCGTCCGCTGAAAACTCCTCGTACGTGGAGACACGGCGCCAGGCCAATGGACGTCACACTCCGTCCCGGCATATGGACACGGAGTGAGGCCAGTACCTGATGTTCGATGCTGCCCCTTGTGGGAACCCAGATCCAAGCCCTCCTCCCACGTCCCGGGGGGGGTGAAGGCCTGAGGCGCAGAGAAGAACCACCCTGCATGAAAATGCCTCATGTGGAGCTGGCCTAGCCGCCACCACATGCTTGAGCCGCCGCTTCATTCCCAGCAGGGACCTGAGGCGCCGAGGGGGACTCTGGGGCCCGCACAGAACCCTCCTGGCATGACGGGTAGTGTTCATCCGTCTGTCCAGGACAAGGGCAGCACGGAATGTCTCACAGTCATTCTAGCTGGCAGGTCCGAGATAGATCATGCGCTGGAGCCGGTTGCAGCCTGCTACTACGTCATGGTGCTACGTCCCTTAGCGGACTTCGCATAGAGGGGATACACAGTGCACCTAATCGTAGAATTAAGTTACAATAGGTAACTATTACTTTTTCACCTGTTCCCCCCACAGAGCCCAGGCGCTGAATGTGGGGCAGGACCAGTGCGTGTGTCACTACCTGGTGATGCCAGAAATTAATCCGTCGTAGAAGTAGGTTAAAATTTCTTACCCCAGAGGTCTGAGGACTTTTCCCAAAAACATTGGAAAAGTTCCGAGGCGCGTAGTGCATAATTACTGTAATTCCTCTCTCACACTGCGAAGCGCAGAAAACATCCTGTGTTCTGGCACTATGGGCTCGTGGAAGTTACGCAATCTGTCAGGTTTATGGATGGCATCCAGTTCCCTGCCTGAACACTCGAGTAGGCTGCTTTGTGGGCATGCATCCGAAACTTCCGTTGGTAAAAGCACTCGTTCAACACGCGCTGATCCAGAATGGGACGAACCCGCCTGACTTCTTTGGCATCTTAAGATGTCAAGGGGAGTAAGCACCCTGGTGGCGTCCTGCGGGTCTACCCTCAATCGCGCCATCGGCAACACAGCAGAGAGGAGACCTTCGCTTGCAGTGCCTCTATTGATCCCCGTATCTGAGAGCGCACTGCCCTGTTCGCCGCGGAATGGGGGTGGCTGAGGGAAGAATTCAAGCAGTGCGTAAACCCTGCGCATATGTGTTTCTCACTTGGCTCCTAGCCATACGGTCCATTTCCAAATCCCTGCTCCCCGTCCAAGATGCGGTAGAAGTCTGTGACTGGAGGGGCGGAACGGGAGCTGAAACACGAGAATACGTCACGGCCCCGCCCCACTCTCTGGGTGGTCCTAGCAGGGAGGGGGGAGTGGACACGAAGGGCCGGGGGCCCCCTGCGTCACAGGAAACCGTGAGCGCCGGGGCGGTCACGTGTTCTGCAAGGCCCACGCCGTATAGGTACGGACGGCTCCATCACACGTGACTACCAGGCTGCATGTGCCCCCCCCCCGGCTCTTGCCTCATTGGAGGGCGGGGGCGAGCCCCGGGAGTAGGGAAACCCCTGTTACGCCTTGTAGCTCGCTCTGCTACAACTACACGTGTACTTCGGCTAGCCTGTGGTTCCCCCCCTGTGCCTCTGGCCTCATGGAGGGGTGGTACGAGCACCCTGGGAGTGGGAAACCCCGTGGTTAGCCTTGTAGCTTCAGAGATGCTGAACACAGCGGTTCGGCTGGAGCACACACATGTTATTTAACACTCACCAGATCCCGCCGCCGCCCGCGTCATCCGGGTGGGCAATATCATGAACCCGTGAATCGGACGCCCGTGGCCCGCGAAGGCATCGCTGCACACGCACCTCTTCTGGGGGCCGGCAGGCACTTGAGCGAGCCACGGTAGATGCTCGAGAAGGTATCACACTAGTCAGAACTTCAAATCATCATTTGCGACACGTCTAACATGACCCCCAATATGAGACTCCAGCACAGCGAGTACCTGATGAAAGGCCGCGCGGCTGTGATGTGAAAGGAATTCATGCCCACACCCGACCTCCGCTGCCCATAGGGAGGTCGTCCGGTGGGTGCGTGGCGCCCGCGAAGCCACCCATGGGTCTGGCTGGGGGACCCTGGGCGGCACTCGTCGAAGGGGGGACGATGGCATAACAGAGCGCGTGTTTAGACGGTCAGGATGCCCGCCCGGCCGACTTCGTTCGTCTGCCGCTGTCCCGGCGCCGGAACTGGCTGGTGAGGCCGCGCAGCCTCGGGGCGAGGTGGCGGGGCTAGCACTAGCCGAGCCTTTAGCTCGGCAGACTCCAGATCCCTCGCCACCTAAAGCCCCCAACTCACCCTAAAGGCCTGGCATGTCCGGATGGCCGAAGAGCGGACCAAGCTGAGAGGTGGGCAGGTCCAGCAGCGTGCCTCCTCCTCCGCACGCCCTGATAGTAGGCCAGACCAAGCCAAAGGTGCCTGCCCGACGTGGGCTGCAGCCATGGAGCGGCCTACCATCCACGGACTAGCGTCTGGCCCTTGCGCAAGGTCGCAGCCGAGTGGTGGGCCGCCGCCTGTGACAGGAGGTCTCCACTGACGGCCGGTACCAGAAGAGAGCGACAGAGCCAGGGCCCCCGGGATGTAACGCCATGATGTTAGTCAATTCGAGGGCCTGTGCTTGCCTTGGCATAACACTGCTAATCCACATCGCGCCAAGACTCACTGAGCCCCCTCGGAGGGAAGGAGAGGTCTGGTGCCCGGCCCACACGGAATGCAGAAGGGCCTGCAGGGCACCATGGCGGACTGAAACGATCCCGAGCTGTCCTGTCCCGCGCCGAGGGAAAGGAGTAGGTCTGGGTGCCGGGCCACACGGCTACGGACGGCTGCTCGGGGCCATGCGGACTGGATATCCGCGATCCATCACCCGACGTCCATGGACCAGTCCCTGCCCGCTGCAGTACAAGGCGTACCCCTGAGCAGGCCTCTTTGGCAGTAGGGCCGTAGGCCAACTCACGTGTCCGCGTAATGGATCGAACGGGTCCATCCGCGCGCACAACAGTGGGGCGCATGCCTCCACCTTTCCGCGAGTGGTGGCCACCCACCGAGGTGAAGTACTCCACCCCCACCTGTCTGGTAGCCAGTGACGACGGTCCGAAACGCCGGAGGGCGAAGGGTAACTCTTTTTCTTTTTTTTTTTTTTTTTTTTCCATTTTTTTTTTTATTTTCTTTCTATTCCCTTTTCTCTTTTCTTCTCTTTTTTTTTTTTTTTTTATTTTTTTTTTTTTTTTTTTTTTATTTTTTTTTGTTTTTTTATATCCCTTTTTTCTTTACTTCTTCTTTTTTTTTTTTTTTATTTTTCTTTTTCCTTTTGTTTTCCTTTTTTTTATTTTTTTTATTTTTTTTTTATTTTTTTAATTTTTATCTTTCTCCCTTTCTTCTTTTTTTCTTTCTTGTTTTCTTCTTTTCATTTTTTTTTTTCTTTTTTTTATTTTCCCCCTCTTTTTTGTATTTCTTTTTTTCTTTTATGTCTCCTTTTTTCCTTTTTTAGGGACATAAACAAGGAAGACTTCCTCAGAATGAAGTAAGTACTGTGGTAAGATCTCTATACGGCCGTCCAGAGGGGAATGAGGGGCGGGCGGCCTTGTGCAGCGGGCATTTATAGAGGAGGGTGGCCTGGGGATTGGAGCAAATCATATTGATCTCTCTGGCAGTGTGACCGGGGGGGCTCGGAGATATCCCCACTGAGCGAAGTCCTAAGGGACCGTAAGCACCTTGACGTAGATTCTCCTGTAACACTCATAATTTACACTTTATGAGTTGGTCCATGGAGAGACAATCGTAAGGAATGTGATAATGTAACTACTGGTTGCGATAAATGGCATACTTGTGATTAAATGTAATAATTGTGTTTTATGTCATACTTGTGAGTAATGTCACCATGTGATAATTTGTCATACTGTGTTAAATGTCACACTGTGTAAATGTCTCACATGTGTATTAATGTATCACATGTGATAAATGCATTCATGTGATAAATGTAACAATGTGATAAAAATTCATAAATTGTGAAAAAATTGTCATTTACATGTGTTAAATGTCATAAATGTTGGTTGCATCTTATGTATGAAAAGCGCTTTATAAATAAAATTTGATTGATTGATTGATTGAATAAATTTCAAACGACTTCAGGTTTGTCTTAAACGTGGGAACAATGTTGTAAAGTGAAATGGTGAACTATAAATGCTTTGTTCCATTGACAGATACTGTTTGAATTCTGGAATCTTCTGTTTTGTAAGTCAAGTATTTTAAAGCTGTCAATATATATTTTTCACTTGTTGCAGAACCCTGGAGTGTTTCGAGGAGTAATGCAGAAGGTGAATCCGTTCAAGTCGCAGCCGCAGGTAAAACTCCAGTGAACACGGATTACGTTTTCAAGGCTTTAGAGGAAATCAGAACAACTCGCCTGGTCCAATTTAGTTAGATTGAACAAAACTCATGTAAAAAAACTGCATTTTAAAAAAGTGAATAATTATCAGACCGGTTTTAAAGTATGGCAAATAGTTTCCGTTTTTTTTTTAACTTAAGATTTGGTTTCGAAGTCTTATATTCTGATCCCCACAGGTTTCTAAAGCTTCATCCTCAGAGTCTGTTGAAGAGGAGAAATCGTCCGACATCAATCAGGTCAGTCATCTTTTCACTCATTTGATAACCTGCACTGTATATACTGTATGTGCAAATTAAAAAAATAATTTCTATTTTTAGACTGAACACAATTTGGCAGATTTTGTTTAGTCGGAAAACCCTTCAACTTTAACCAATCACACCTCTTAAGCTCGCAAGCCCCCGCCGGTGGGGGCAAACGAGAAAAAAAATACTTCTGCTGGCAATAGCAGATGTATTTTGAACCTCATAAGCCACAAGCTATATATCATTTTAAAACTTATTTTCTCAGCTATATTTATATGTAAGTGTAAACGATATCAGACTTTGCATTAAAAAGATATAACGCATAAGATAAATCGTGTTTGTATAAGTTTACCTTTCGTCTTCTGCTGCTCCAACAAATTAGACTTTCCCCATCCTTGCTCAGTCTCTTTCTTTCCGTAAGTCTTCATTGAAAAAGAATATCCACTTGGATTTCCCAAAGTATAATCCATTCTTCAGAAATAATCCTAAAATGTGCATTTTTTTGTTGCAAAAAAAAACACTCAGGCTTCTCTTTCACATTTCACCAAGTTTGAGCTTTGTTTAGCCACAAACATCATATCTACGTGTTCCTTGAGTCCTTAGCTTCAAAAAGAGAGGTTCCATGAAAAGATGGGAGCAAGTTTCAGTCCGTAGGACCCTTGTGAAAAAGACAAACCGCATCCATTTGCAGAGGATCCGTTTTTGCCTTGTTGATTACAGGCTAGCGCAATGTGCTAGCACTGAATGATTGACGTGTCTAAGTAGCCAATAAAAATAACTTTCTTTTGATGGGTGGGACTTGTAGGAACTCTTCTCATTTTTACAGTAAAAGTGTGCGTAAAGACGCTGTTAGTACTGCTGTGCATATTTTATATGCATTTACACTACTAAAAAAAATATTTTGAAAAAATGTAAAAGAAAATCAAAAAGTACCAAAACTAAAAAATATGCTTTTTATGATGGTGAAATGTTAGTAAAGCAGTTTGGCACAATTTGGCACACATTTTGCCAAATTGGTTCCGAATGGCACTACTTGATAAAAAAGAGAAACTGCATAAAAACTATAAAACTTAGAAGTCTGAAACTTTACACAGTTGTGTTCAACAACACAATGAACAAATTGGCGTTGAATATGTTCTTCTTCCAATGAAGTAGGCTTTTTAGGGCATTTATAAATTGAATTTTTTAAGCGAGGCTAAAAAAAAAAACAGGTGTTTTTCCCAAACTTCAAAGGATGCAGAGTGAAATAGGAATGACATACTTTATTTCAGTGTATATTTACACTTTTTTTTTTAAATAAGCAAAGACATTTGGGTATGCCAAACTTTTGTGCACGAGCCAAAGCAGATGTAGGAGTTTAAGAGGTAAGCACACACGCTATTAATGACTTTTCAACATGATTTTTTTTTTTTTTTTCTTCAGAATCCAGGAGTGAAGTCTGGGATGATACAGAAGATAAATCCATTCAAGTCACAAGTATTGATTTTTCTTAAAGTTATAGTCTGTAACTCTAAATGGATTACACATTTTAAGAATTGTAGTAAATTGACCTCCTGGCCTTAAATGTTGATATAAAATAAGTAATTTTATTAATTCTAATATTACAGGTAAATCCCGCCTTCCCTTCTCTTATAGATTAGATTAGATTAGACTTTATTTGTCACTATACACATGCATAATGAAATTAAAAGCAACTCCACCAGTGCAGGAATGTACACACAGAATAGGTTAATACACAGAAATAATTAAAACATTAAAGTGCACAGTTGCATCTATTGCTCGGGAGTTATAAATATAATATAACAGATATAAAAATTCAGTGCATGTGAGAATTCAATAGTGTTACAGCTTTTGGAAAAAAGCTGTTTTTCAGTCTATTCATCCTTGCTCTGATGCACCTGTACCGCCTCCCTGAGGGTAACAGGTCAAACGGAGTGAATCCAGGCTGAGAGCTGTCATTAATGATGATCTCTGCTCTGCTGAGGCAGCGGCTGGTGTAAGTGTCCATCAGAGAAGGCAGAGGGCAGCCAATGATTTTCTGTGCTGTCCTTACCACTCTCTGCAGCCTCTCTCTGTCGGCCACAGTGTAGCTTCCATACCACACTGTGATACAGTAAGTCATCAGGCTCTCGATGGCTGAGCGATAGAAGGTCAGCAGCAGACTAGAGTCTAAATTGTGCTTCCTGAGTACTCTCAGAAAGTGTAGCCGCCGGGCCAGGTCTGTGTTGTGCTTCCTGAAGTTAACAATGATCTCTTTGGTTTTCTTAGTGTTAAGAGATAAGTTGTTCTCTGCACACCAAGCTGTCAACTTCAGGACCTCCTCCCTGTAGGCTGCATCATCACCCTTTGAAATGAGACCAACCACTGTGCTATAGCTCAGAATCCACGATGCCGTCCCCTTTAACCAATTGAGTCATGCCAAGGGCTGTCAATCATCGCGCTGATGCTCGTAGCTGCTCATGCTCAGTTGTTTGTTTTCACGGAGCCTCCGAATCAAGCCTCCATTAGGCTCTGGAACTACTGAACCTATATCCATAATCAGATCCTCTGCAGATGTGTCCTATAATGTTCAATCAATGAAAATAGCTACTTCCGGGTTTGCCGCGATCGTTTTTTGTGTGCATTAAAACATTATGTTTTCATGAAAAAGTTGGCAAATAATTCTGAAAACCTCAGTGCATGTGTATTAATAATGTTTATGTATAATATGTTCTCCCATCAACATTTAAATGTGTTACGGAAACGTAGGTGTAGACCAGGGGTCACCAACCTTTTTGAAACCAAGAGCTACTTCTTGGGTACTGATTAATGCGAAGGGCTACCAGTTTGTTACACACTTAAATAAATTGCCAGATATGGCCAATTTGCTCAATTTACCTTTAATTCTATGTTTTTACTAATAATTAATGATATTTATTTTGTGGAAAAACTTTTATATTTTCTCTAAGTGCACATTTTTCAAATTTAACAAATGATCACTTCTAAGACAGTCCCATTTAATCGCAATTAATCACATTTTAATCGCATATAAATATTTGACCTGAGAAGTAATTTTTTTCACATGGATTTTTAGTTTACCATTGAATAATGACTGAATACATGAGGCTTAAGCAACACATGTTAATATGGAGTTTAAGGGATAACTTCTAAACATCAAATAACGTTTCTGTCATTGCCTCCTCACACTGACGACAACATATGCTCCTCCTCCTCCTCCTCACACTGACGACAACATATGCTCCTCCTCCTCCTCCTCACACTGACGACAACATATGCTCCTCCTCCTCCTCCTCACACTGACGACAACATATGCTCCTCCTCCTCCTCCTCACACTGACGACAACATATGCTCCTCCTCCTCCTCCTCACTCTGACGACAACATATGCTCCTCCTCCTCACACTGACGACAACATATGCTCCTCCTCCTCACACTGACGACAACATACTCTTTTTAAGCCCAAAATCCACTGCACACGCTGTGAGCACTAAAGCTGGGCATGCGCTGTTTGCTAAAGCTTTTATAATACGTTTTTGATGTGTGCATTCGGAGTAAACATCAGCATTAGCAGCTCACACACCTGTGTCTCGCTCCTCCTTCTCCTTCTCCTCCTCCGCTCACACAGGAGTCACTGCTCCTCCTCCTCACACACAGAGTCCATCGCTCCATACACAGCGCTCATTCCCGTCTAATTTACTCGAATTTAAAGTTGGACTCTGCTTGTAATAATGTACTTTTGAACAAGAAAAGTCACGGAGCTCCGGTTGGTGCGTCAGTTCAATTGGTCCGTCTGAAACTTATTCAGTGAGGAACGTTCCGCGGTGCAAAAATACATACGATTAAAATGCGTAATTTTTTTAACGCGCTTTTTTGTGTGAAATTAATTAATCTTTATTAACTTGTTAAAGTCCCGGCTCTAGTTTATATGCCATTTGTAAGTTGCATGTAAGTATGATTTAAACAAGAATAGCACTGGTAAGTGCTGCCATTTGAGCTATTTTTAGAACAGGCCAGCGGGCGACTCATCTGGTCCTTGCGGGCGACCTGGTGCCCGCGGGCACCGCGTTGGTGACCCCTGGTGTAGACCAATCGGAAAGGAAGGGGGAGGAGCTTGCGTGTTTTTTTTTCAAATCAAGTACCTTTCTCTCTGACAAACTGCAGACAATCACTTTAAATTCAAGATGGGAATCAAACCACATAGGGCAAAGACTCATACTAATCATGAAGGAAATAAATTAATCTTATAGATATGACTTGAATCCATTTTTTTGGTATGGATGAAATAGACATGTATAAGTTACAAATACATATAAAATACATGAATAACTTGATAATAATATATGCATACTGTAAATCCATCTCATAAACACTTCTTCTAACAAATTAACCTTTCATGTTTTTGTCCAGGCTCAGAATCATGTCTCAACAGAATCACAAACCACTGACTGCACACCACAAAATAAACAGGTGAGTTAAAGGCATATAGGAGGATTTTCTACTTCCGGGTTGATCAACAAGACTATTGGTCCTCCTACTTGTCAATCATTCTGGTGATCGTCAAAAACGGACAGAGAGAAAATCCTCCTAACTTTAAAGCTAGAGAACATAACTTTCAAACCACAGAAAATGCATCTATGGTAATTATGGATTGGTTCTTTCACTGGTTTTCACATCCATGTGTTTTTAGCCTCCGTCACATCTTTTGATCAGCTATTTCAGACAGAAAAGGGACTTTCTGTGTGGAGTCTGCATGTCCTCCCCGTGTCTGTGTAGGTTTCCTCCAGGTGCTCTGGTTTCCCCTAACACTAAAAACATGCACAATAGGTATGAATGTAAATGAGAGTGAATGGATGGTGTTGATTGGAGCTGATGGTCCAGTGTGTTCTGGTCTCGCTTCTGTCATCACCGTGTGTGGAACGATTGGAACAATATCTGAACTCTGAACATTGTGAAGCGCTTTGGGTGACCTTTGTCTTTAAAATGCGCTATATAAATAAACATTACTTACTAGAAAAGAGAGAAAAGCCTCCTCACGCACAATCAGCTCTCAGCCCAAAGTGGCAAAGAGTGACTCACATTGATACAGCAAAAGATAAAAAATGTCTACATTTTCTGTTGGACAAACAAATGATATTAATGGAAAACGTATAAACAATGTATTATTTATGAAATAATTTTCTTTTCTTTTGCCTTAAATGATCAAACCCCAAGGTTTTGATCATTTAAGGCAATTTAATTTGTTCATCCAAGTGTTTTCTTTGTGTTTTGTAGAATCCAGGAGGTTTTTCTGGCATGATTCAGAAAGTGAATCCATTCAAGTCTTCACAACCAAAGGTACATTGCTCTGTTTTGATCTTGCCTGGATGAGTGCAAGTTTCCGACGATTATTATTTATCAAATCATGTGTCTTGTCTTTTATATTTGCGATCACAGGACTCAAAGCCAGTTCACAGTGACCTCTCCAGCAGTGAGGGGAGCCTGGCCGACAACAACAACCTGTCGGACAAAAAGGTCCGGCATTTAACGTTTGACTTTTGAATAGATGTATGTATCAAAAACTGCACTTTGTTTTAATTAGACAGACCTAAAAATGATAAATGTTGTTTTAAAAATGTTGTATTTCTCCTCATTGTTTGCCAATCAGGTCAAATTGAATAGAAACTTACATTTGTATGCATCAGATTTAACCCACAAAGAATCTCAAACATTACGACAACAGCTGCTGTTTTAAAGTGATAATGAAATAGAAACAGCAAAGACTTAACCAAAGCTTCTCTGGAAACTAAACCAATATAAAGCAGGAGACTTGACGGAGTTTTGTAGAGCATTAACCACTCCAAAACAGACCTGGAGTTGCGTTTGGCTTCATCCACATGTACATCCTATTGACTGCCAAAGGTATGTCTTTAACTGCTGTAACATTATAATTGACAGATGTCCTCTGATGAAACTCCAGGGCTACCACCGCGACCAAACCAACAGGTGCTTTTTATAGACATTCACAGACTTTCAAGTAATCCCATTATATATATTTTTTTTATATATATAAAGGAGTGGGCAGAAGCAAGAGCTTATTGGTGTCCACCCCCAAAGCACACTACATATTTAAACATTTGACATAGCACAGCAATAAGAAAAGAACAAACGATAACAGTAACGACACAAAATAACAACGAAAGTATGGGAACTTTTTTTTCTTCTTGAGCAAATAGTGGCGACTGTTTAGAACAACATCACTCTTCACGGTCAACAATAATCATAATGACAATAGTAAGACGAAAAAAACAAAGTAAAAAAAGTAGAAATAAAAAAACAGCAAAAACAAACGGACAAATTGGGTTTAGCCCGATTGCTCCCCCTAGTGACGTATAATTTCCTCCTCTTTGTGCGGATCGAAACTCTTTTGTTTGTATTAATTGATAAAAATTTTTAACCCCTTATCACTAACTGGACTCTTGTTGTCATGGCAATTTTTACTCTAATTATTTGTGGAAACAATCAGCACAGAGAAAGATCACTCTTTGGTCCGCCTGGTGCCTGGGTGTAATATCTGTTTGACTGTAGATATATATATTTTTTAATGTTTTATTTTTTTTACAATTTGCTTTTTATAGGAAATTGACTACAACTGTTGTGTTGAAAAGTAAATTCAAGTTGTGTACAACCTTATCGCATTATTTTCCATATTGCATTATTTTCTTTGTTTCTTTGTTGAAGGACATTTTCAGCAACAATTTCTTTGCATGTCACATCAAGACTTCTTTGTTTTTAATAATCTATAGATTTCTATGACGGACGACCAAACTCCAACGCTTCCACCTCGATCCAACCAGCAGGTAGATGGTCTTGACTGATGTATACATTATTTATGACTATATGAATGGAGAGCTGTATATTTGACTTCTCATGTTCACACCATAAAAACACATCAAATCACATCCTCCAATACCACCTCTCACCTCCATTACTCGTACTGTTGATAGAAGTAAAAAAGTATATAAGATTACTACTACTACTACTACTACTATTGCTGTTACATATATTCCCACTTGTGTAACTACAAGTACTGCGACTATCACTCAACACTTTTGCACGTTTATCTTTGATTAGGCCACTAGTGTGCGCTAAAGTCACACACTCACAACTGTTCACTAACTATTTGTCTGTTCTGAACTAGAGCCAGGGCGTGTTCAAAGGGATGATGCAGAAGGTGAACCCGTTTAAGTCCACGGCTCAGGTACAAACCACTGCACACAAACCCAAAGGTCACAAAACAAGGCAAGTTTATTTGTATAGCACAATTCGTACACAAGGCAACTCAAAGTGCTGAACAAAACAAGAAAGCATTAAAATCATAAATAATCACAGAACATTAAAAAGAAAGATAAAAATATAAAATCCCTCAGTTGTATGCACAACTAAACAGAACTGTCTTTAACCTGGTTTTAAACATTGTCAGAGAGGAGGCCTGTCTCACATCTTCAGGAAGATTGTTCCAGATTTTAGCAGCATGAATCTGAAAAGCAGCCTCCCCATGTTTAGTTCTGACTCTGGGCACTAACAGGAGTCCAGTCCCTGTGCTCCTCAGAGTCCGGGCTGTTTCATATGGGACTAACATGTCACTAATATATTTTGGAGCGAGGCCATGGAGAGACTTGTACACAAGCAGAGCTGTTTTAAAGTCTATTCTGAGCTACAGGAAGCCAGTGCAGAGACCTGAGAACTGGACTAATGTGGTCGTACTAGTAATGTTCACTTAAACACACAAACCTGAAATGTCAAATTTATTGACAGTTACTATTTTTAACAGATATCTCTATTACGTCTTGTTATTGCCAGTACATTTGAGAGGATTTATTTGCACAAAAATTTACCTGGCATTAAAAAACTGCTTGATATGGAGAAAAGTGAAATATGTTCACATGTTTTTCAATGGTATACGTTCAAACTTTTTACAGGTTCTACAGGTTTGTAGATACTTTGTTCCTTACCGTAAGACTTAAGCGTCCAGAAAGCCCACAAATACCGATCTGACTTGAGACCAAGAATCACGCAGTTATGATTCTGATACTGATGAAAATAGACAAAGTAATTTTAAGTTTATTAAGTGGAGTACAAAACAATATTTCTTCCCTAACATAGTTTTAATGTCCTGTATGATTGTATGATTTGATTTATGTGGATATTGTTTGAAAGGCTTTTGTCTAAAGTTTAGATACTACTTGCCACTTGGGCTAAACAGAAGGAAATTAGTTTAATTGATCAGATCTTAGACTGGGAAGGCTCATTACACCATTATCAGAGAACTGTCACTCTAGACACATGATGTAGACATTTTGAAATAATGAGATCTATTCAAACACTGGTTTCACAATTTTAAAAATTTTCATAGTAGAATTAACTTTTCTTAGCAACCTCAGTAAAAACACTTAAACTAGATTTTATATTACTCTTTGGAATTTTTCTGTTTGTAATCATAACTTGATCCATAGTTTGGCTCCTTATTAGACTTGACATGACTTGACTTGCTCCAATTTCAACCTGATACAGACGCAGGTGAAATGTATCTTGGTAAAATTATGTTTCACATTACTGCACATGATTCACATATCCTTAATGACTTTGAATGGTTTGAAGTCTCTAAAAAGGCACCAATTTTTTTTTTTTTTTTATTACAGCTCTCTCTATCCTTCATGTGCTCTGGGAAAGATGACCCTCTTCTCTGATGAACTTGTAAATGTTCTGGGACACATTTGTTACACTGTAAATAAGAAATGAATGTGAGGAAATCGCAGCAGTGGTCGTCTCTAGCAAAATGCAGGCAAAGTAGAGCATCACAAAACCCCAGACAAGTGATCACTGATTCATAGAGATCAGACAAATTGACAAACTGCATTTCTGGTGTAAAACACATTTGTCGATTTAGCTGTCAGCGGATAAGAAACCTCCATGAATATACAGTGATACGGCTCGCACTAAGAGCAACATAACTCAACAAGTTATGGAAAGTTTTGACAACATTTTCAGTAAACAGTGAACAACTGAATCCATTTTGGAGATGATCCAACTTGGCGGCTGTAAGCAGGAAGAGCACACCTAAGTTTATTGTTCCGACGAACAGTTTCAGCGACTACATTAAACTGTTTCAATAATTTATTAGTTTTAATCATTGTATTTAATCTAATTTACTTCCCAGGAGTCCAGTGGTGATTGTCAAACTGACGCTGGTCCAAAGCGAACAGAGGTACTTGATTATTTCACAATTTGTATACATATTTTCTATTTGTGAACGTTATATTTTTTAGGCTTCCCAAAAGCTTGAAAGCGAATCATCGTCTTCCAGTTGTGAAAGTTTGGTTGACGAGACGATACAGCGGCACGTGAGAACAAATCAGTTTTTTTCTTCTCTATTCTGTGGAAATGTTTGGTAATCGTTGGTAACAATGTTTGTGCGTCTTTTCATGCTGCAAAAAGGATCTCTGGTTGAAAGGTAAAGGCAGAAATGAATGTTGTGAAATCAAAAGGCAAGCGTCAGGCATTTTTCGATGGGTCTGTTTAAAGAATAAGGGAACTATAACGTAAGATATGAAGTAAAATTCTTTTATATTGAAAATTCCAATAGGAGTTAAGAAGAATCCAAATATTAAGATGCTGAAAGTAAACTTATGTCCCATTAAGTTTATATTTGGAGACTTCAAACACCCTAGAACACAAAACAATACAAAACTTTTCACTACAACAGAAAATTGGAATGTTGACAAACCGTCAATGTTTATTTTAAAGGAAAGTTATGAAATCTGCATCTCTTGGCGCATATTTATTATTGATTAGGCATCATAAGGTCAAAACAACCAGACTTTGTTGGCAGAATATTCCTGCCTACATCACACATGTCGCCCAAAATTGGCCATATTTTACCTAACAAACTGGCAACTCAAGCCCGTTCTGCTCTCTGATTGGACAATCTACTTGAAAATTGTAAGCATAAATATTGTAATCATGTTTTTGTATTTTTAAATAAGAATAACTCTTTTAAACAAATAGGCTTTGGACATAATACCTTATTTATTTTATTTGGGGACGTGTATAAAATATGTCATTTTATAATGTTACATTATCTAAAGTCTTATTTCTTTTGTCTCTAGTCCATTTGGTATGCGGAGGTGCCCAGCACAGAGGTTCAGAGCAAACCAGCAGAACCACAAAAGAAGAGGACCATGGTGAGAACTGGAATAGTCATCGGCCGTTGGGTCATTGCCTGATTTAACTTCTCATGCTCAATGTTTTGATTGTTGCTTTTAACGATGTTACGAATGCATTCCCTCATCAAAAACTCACCTGTGGTTGCATTCACTCAATCAGTGCTATTACCAGGATGTTTTGAGCTGGGCATGTGTGCTTTCCATCTGATTATTTATTTATTTGATTGTGACATGGAAAATGAGACGAACTGGCAGCGCCCGTATCTGGGGCCGTAAGTCACAAGTTTCAATATTGACTGCGTTTAGACCAGGGGGCACAAGCTCGTTTTGGATGAGGCCCAAACGTAAATAATTCTTTAGTTGCAAGTTTTTTATATTTCATTTTTTGTTACTGACAGTAAATGTGATAACATTTTGTTGCTATTATTTTAATTAATATTGAATTTTTTTTACTTTAGCAGTTTATTTTTTTGATAAATTCTTATAAATATGAGTTTGGTTGCTGTTGGAATTTAGCCAAATTAACCAAATGTACCACAAACTTGCCAGGCCAATGATTACTTTTTTTTTTTTTACTATTTATAAATAAGTTTTGAAATCAAATATAATAGATTAAATACATAAGTATGTAAGTCATTCACAGACTAGAGTTTACATTTGTGGGCATTTGTCTCCACACAGAGATGGGAGTGAGGTGGCCAGTACAGGAGGCGCCTGCCAGACCTATTCTACCCGTGTTTAGTGGTGGGGGAACCGGAGGACCCAGTGGTACTTTTCTTGTTGGAAACTAGCTTTAGAAATGGCAAGTTTATCAAAAATGTAAAATAATTTAAATGTAAATAATAATTCAAATTCTTTAAATCATCTAAGTCACATGCCAATAAAAGCACCTTAACTTTAACCAAAAACTCGCCTTGGGCGCCCTGGAGTTTTTGCAAAGTTCTATTGACATGAAATATTTTCCCCACAACCTCCAAAGAAAACCTCAACCCACACATTTCACATCCTGCAATGCTCCCTGAGCTTCTCTGTTGTTCACTATTGTTTGTTATTAATTTTTATTTCTCTGCTCGTTTTCAGACTTTCCGTTTGAAGAGGATTCTCCCGTCTGGTCTGTTTGGCTCTGGAACGCAGGTAACATCTTTGTTTGAACCAAGCTAGGCATTCTGAAACTCTCACCAACTGTTCTGCTTTTCTTCTTCCCATTCCAGTTTATACTGTATTTCACATACAGTATATATTTACATATTTGTAAATATCATTACACATGGTGAATATTGCATCTGTACACTAGGGCAGGGAAAACAAAATAATTTCAATATTAACAAAAAATAATGACATTCGAACAAATGTGAGGCAGCCCATAATGTTCAAATATTATTCTGGCATTATTTTTGTGTATTATCTTGCAAATGTTGATCTTTCGCTTTAGATTCTCTGAGGCATTAGTTTGAATGGTATGCGTTATTATGGTAACAAGACGTCAGCGCGCCCCATAGTTGGCGCGCCAGGGCAAAAGCAGATATTTTGGATTTTAATATAATTGAATCTTTAATTCTAATTTTAAAAAATAATTTTAAATTTTGAAGAAATATGATGAATGTGACCATTTCTGCTTGAATTATTGGTTAAAGATGAAACTCAGGCAAGAACAAATATTTAAAGTTTGAACATTTCAATCTTAAATGCTTAATGTTACGTGGAGAACTGAATTAAGTCTAATTGCATAACCTATTTTTTATTTCTTTTTATATATTCATTTTAGAATCCAGCAGCATCAGAAGCTCAGGCTACAACACAGCTCCAGGTTTGTTACATTTTTCCATTGATAATGCATTGATTTTAAGTGAACTATTTATAATGATGGGAAGTAGAATAGAAAATTCACACATGAAGTCTTTATGTCAAAATAAAATGTTCTAACAACTAAACTTTTATATTGATAAAGTAGCACCTTATAATGACACCTTAATGTTTTGGCGTCTTGTCCCACAAACTCTAATTAAATGTAATTCTTCCCGTAATTATCAAGAGTCTCCTTTTGAAGTAGGTTTTATTTGTAATCTAAAGTCATAGCCATTAAAGATTCAAGTTGACTAGTCTGTGTTTGATGTTCCAAAACCACAATGATAATTACTTTGTGATAATAGTGGTAATACGAAAAGCCCAACTTCAATATAAAAATAAGATTGAGGCCAAATTCCACAGCAATGACCTGAAAGCGGTGTGGGATGGCATGAAAGCTATGACGGGTCAGTCAAAAAGAAAAACTGAGAACATCTCTATTGAGGGTCTAAAAGACAGTGCAGAGAGTGCAAATGCTTTGAATGACTTTTATTTAAGGTTTAATACTGACACTGCTCTCTCAAATGCACAAATAGATGCCACTAGGGAGATACTGAGTGATCACATGGCATCACCTGCTCTCAACGTTAGTGCATCAGATGTCAAAGGCATGTTTTTAAAATGCAACTGGAGGAAGAGTCCAGGCCCTGATCTGATCACTGGGAAACTCTTGAAGTCCTGTGCTGACCAGCTTTGTGATGTTTTTAGTGATATTTTTAACTGCTCTCTCTCACAGCACAAAGTTCCATCACTGTGGAAAGAGTCAGTGATTGTGCCAGTGGCAAAAACAAAGTCTCCACGAGAGCTTAACGACTTTCGGCCAGTCGCTCTGACTTCACTAATAATGAAGAGCTTTGAACGTCTAGTGAAGGAGTTTTTAACAACAGAAGTTCAGGAGAGACTGGACCCCATGCAGTTTGCATATCGCGACAGGAGAGGAGTGGAGGACGCAACCGTTACCTTGTTCCACCTGGTCTCCAAGCATCTGGAAGGCTGCAGGACTCAAGCTCGGCTGCTATTTGCTGATTTCTCTTCTGCTTTTAATACTATTCAGCCACATATTTTATTTTCTAAATTATTGGCTGATTTTAATCTGAATCCAAACTTGGTGAAGTGGATTGATGACTTTTTAACACGCAGGCCGCAGAGAGTTCGAGTGAATGGAATAATGTCTGAGAAAAAAGAGTCATCCATAGGATCTCCACAAGGGTGCGTCCTCTCACCCCTTCTGTACATACTCTACACAAATGACTGTCAGAGCAAGCATCCAAACAGACATTTGTTGAAGTTTGCAGATGACACAGTCCTGGTCAGTCTGCTGCAGGATGGAGAAGTGGAGCATGGACCAGTCATGGAGGACTTTGTCCAGTGGTGTGACAGGCACGTCCTCACTCTGAATGTGAAGAAGACTAAAGAAATGGTCCTTAACTTTGGGAAGGCTCCACAACTCTCACTGCCCCAAACTGTCATCCACAGCTGTGCAGTGGAGACAGTGGAGTCATACAAGTATCTGGGAACCATCATAGACAACCGTCTGAGGTTTGATGAGAACACTTCCCAGGGGGCACAACGAATGTACTTTTTACGCAGACTAAAGTTTTTTGATGTGGACAAGTCCCTGATTATGCTTTTTTATAGGTCCTTTATTGAGTCTGTTCTGTCCTTCTGTTTAGTTTCCTTTTACGGAAACCTGTCTGTCCAAAACAGAAGTCGCATGGGAAAAATTGTGTCTGAGGCCAATCGTATAATTGGCCAACAACAAATGACACAAATATATGAAAGACAGGTCCTGAACAAAGTTCAGCCTGTTTTGTCCATCTGTGACCACCCCCTGAGGTTGGAGTTCGAACTGCTCCCCTCTGGGAGAAGATATCGGCTTCCCAGGGCTAGAACAAACCGTTTCAAATGTTCATTTGTGGTCTCCGCAGTTAATCTGTTGAACAGACAATTTTAAAGATCTAGACATGCTTCCTCTTGATTATGTTGTGATGTTCCCTGATATGTGCCATACTCACTGAGATCTTTGTATTATTGTATTGTATTGCTATTTGTATTGCTCCACCACATGCAAACAATTTTCCCCTTGGGGACAATAACGTTTTTGAGTTGAGTTGAGTTGAGTTGTGATCTTTATTCCATTTGACAAGTTTGTTTGACGTTCACCATTTGCAAACAAAATGGTTCACAGGTACTTTCCCAACGAGAGCTATGCAGAAACTTTGGTTAATCGGAACTACTAAAACATTTTATACATCATTTGAAATCTCATTCTCTCAAGGAAACAATGGCATGTACTCTAACCATTGAACCCTGAGCCGAATTATTATTATTATGAATGTTATAATTATTAATGATGATAATAATAATTGGTCTATGAGTGTGCAATAACAAGCACGCATTTGAGAAACTATCATACGTTTTGGTTCAGTTCAAGCATTTTACGATTTTTTTTTTTTCCCCCTAATCCGAGCAGACTTGAGGTGAAAAGGGAATATGTAACCCCCTGAACTTTGATTGGTCGCGTGCCAGGGGAGGGTCAGCTAAAGGTCGCTACAGTTCATGTGACTTCTACTTCACCATGTCCACTCAGACGTGTCCTGTTTCAGCCTTTGTTTATCTGGCATCATTTCATATCGGCACTGATCTTGTGCCTCCTGTTGTAGATTAGAAAAAAATGTCTGTGCACATAGTTATTTCCATCCTAGTTCACCAGTACATAAGGTTAAAACGTTAATTTGTTTTATTTTATTATATTTTGTTATAGACTCATTTAAATGCAAAGTGACCTATCCCAAGCCTTTGTTATATTCAATGATTATGGCTTAGTCAATTTTAAAATACATAACAAATGAAGTTTTATCATATTTTATTTTCACGTTGTAAGTTGAATTATAGAAGTAAACTGACTTTTGAATGTTCAGAGTTCCACCTGTATGTATTAGAAATTACTTTTATTATTTAAATGAACGGCACATTTAAAAAAAGAATGGAACAAGGTGCGACAGTGGCTCAGTTGGTAGAGCATTGGCCTTTGAGCCTGAAGGTTGTTGGTTCAAGCCCACCATATGACATACTTCATGACTCCCACTAATGTCAGCTGTCATTGTGTCCTTGGGCAAGACACTTAACCCACTTTGCCTGATGCCCCCACTGAAAGATCTCAGCTCCTGTGGACCCACCACCTGCAGGAGGATCAGTGAGGGGCTGGTGCTCTGTGTACTGGGTGCAGCTCTGACTGCCACCTCCAACCCAGAAATGGATTAAGGGGAAGATAATGGATGGATGAATGGAACGATGGTAGGACTTGGAGCTCAATCTTAAAGCTAAGCATGTATGTCAATAAAGTGTCACTTTTTCACTTAAACATGTCTAAAGTGAAAAAGTGGAAAGTTCCAGAACATTCCAGGAGCTGTGCTGGAACTGTTCTAGCATTTTCTGCACTGTTCTGCATTCATCAGAAAAACTGGTGCATGAGTCAAGTGTTATGAATGAAACGTTTCATAAAGTCTTGTCTTATTGTTACATATAATGTGAATTATTTGGCACTGATCTTGAGGTGTCTGGGTGTTGACACAATATGATGTTTGTGCATCTCTTGTTTCAAGGTAAGGTTGGGTAAGGTTTACCTTTGTAGCCTCAGGAAACAAACAATGCGACAGTGGCTCAGTCGGTAGAGCATGGGCCTTTTGAGCCTGAAGGTCGTGGGTCTCCACCGACTCCCACTGATGTCTGCTGCCGTTGTGTCCTTGGGCAAGACACTTAGCCCCACATTGCCTGAAGCCCCCGCTGAAAGATCAAGGCTGTATCGTCACTGACAAGAGCAGCCATCCTCCTGTGGACCCACCACCTGCAGGGGGATCAGTGAGGGGCTGGTGCTATGAGAGTTGGGTGCATCTCTGACTGCCACCCCCCCGAACCCAGAAATGGATTAAGGGGAAGAAGATGGATGGATGGATGGATGTATATTATAAAAACAAAGTTATTATTTCCATCCTAGTCCACAGAAGTCTGTTAGAGTTGCGGAAATACTTGTACATGCAAATACACAAATGTACTCCTTGTAAATTAAATTCTAATCACCAAATCAAATATGTTCCAACTGCACTTTCAGTTGTTTCCTAGACCGCCTTTGTTTTGTTTAGTAGATTGCATTACAGGAATCATGTATTATTACTACTGACTACCCACTGGTAGTTGTTGGTTCTCTGTACATCAATACATTGTTTTGGAGGTATTAGACTCAGACATAAACTCAGTCACTTCATCAGTAACTGCCGCCTCCTACAACCTACTGTGTTTCCTAAGGTCTTCCTCTTTCACAAAATACATTTGTAAAAGCAGGAAGAACTGATTCTGTTTTTTTTTCTTCTTCTGTAAATTAGGAAAATTTTATCCATGTACTATTTTTTCTGATGGAAATGGAGCACAGCTGCAAACGCTTGAACAGTCCAAGGTGTTTTGAGCCGCACAGTGTTCTGGGACTAATGTTTATGTGAAAGGGGCTTTTCAGAAAGACTGGTCTAAGCTTAAGGAGACACACGCATAGACGGGTCATTCGGGTTCTGTTCGGTCTCGAGTGTCTCCTAATATGTGTCCTGTCAAAGGAACTGTGTCAAGTTATCAGATGCGTTTTACTTAAGCCGATAAATGTTAGAAGTTGAAAGAAAATCAAATACTAAAGTTTGTAAATTGACACATCATTCTGAGACATTGTTGTGGAAAGCAAATTGAGTATAAGGGAATACATCCATCCATCCATTTTCTACCCTTTAATCCATTTCTGGGTCAGGGGGGTGGCAATCAGAGATGCCACCCAAGTCTCATAGCACCAGCCCCTCACTGACCCTCTGCAGGTGGTGAGTCCACAGGAGGACGGCTGCTCTCTGAGTGTGAGCATAGCCTTGATCTTTCAGTGGGGGCTTTGGGCAAAGTGGGGTTAAGTGTCTTGCCCAAGGACACAACGACAGCAGTCATCAGTGGGAGTCGGTGGAGAAGGTGCAGAGGTGGCAATTGAACCCACGACCTTCTGGGCTTAAGGCCAATGCTCTACCAACTGAGCTACTGTCGCCCGCTAAGGGAATACAAAGAATATAATATAATAAAATAATACAAAGTCATGCGCCCTTACCCCCGTGGTATAGTTCACTCTGTCATTTTACTGGGAGAAAAATATCAGATTGCACAGACGAAACGGTTGCATCAGGTCGGCCAGAAAATTGTTTTAAACATAAAAGTTGTATATATAACACACATTTTGAGGAAAACTTATTTCCTTGTAGCTGTAAACAGACAGACTCGACGGTTCATGTGGTTTTGACATGTGTCCTTTCTGTGGTTTGAACCAGTGCGTCTTGATTCCTTCTCACCACATTTACGTGAGTTTATGAACAGTCAACTTTGTCACATACTCCAGTGGTGCCTGTCTGATGATATCTGATCAAAACTCCCGAGATCTAAATTTGGATGAAAGATCAGACTAGACCGGATCCTCCTTCCATTGTTAAGCAGCCAAGTGTTCAATGTGGAAAAGTGATTTATGAAGAACACTATGTAATGTATCTGAACATTCAGCAATAAGTGTGAAAAGAAACATTTCAAAGTGGGCCATGATGTTGTGGGAAAGGGCACTAGTGGCATCATGAAAAAGGAGAAATGTGAAATATGTTTAAAACACATATCAAGACCTCAGCGAGGAAGTTGAGTGGCCGTCACAGCCCTGACCTCAAACACATGTCTGGGCGAGAGGTCCCGACATGACTGCACTACATTCAGAAATCATTTGGTCATGTTGGACCTGAACATTTTCCTGAAAATTGTAAACCAGAGTTGTTGTTTTTTGTTGTTGTTGCTCCATTCACTCTAAAATAATGGAGCAAATGAAACAATAAAACAAAATAAACACCTTTTACTGTTTAAGGAATAAGATTCATCTGCAATCTGTTTATTTTTATTTGCATTAAAATGTCACGATTTACAAAGAATAATACTTTGTACAACAAATGTAGAAACATTTGTTGTACTTCCAAAACTGCTCCTCTTCAATTTGGCAGAATATACTGTTCCACATTCACCATTTCCACTAGATTTCCCATCATACACTATTGTTTTTGGTGTAAGTATTATTCTTTGTAAATCGTGACATTTTAATGCAAATAAAAATAAACAGAATGCAGATGCATCTTATTCCTTAAACAGTAAAGATGTTTATTTTGTGCAGGAGACTGTGGAGGTTCAGACTCTGGAGTTTGCAGATGTGAATGATGAAGCGACCCCCGACCCTCTGGATGTACGTATGACAGAAGAAAACATGCAACAAAACAATGTTAAAATGACCTTTTGATGTTATTGCAGGATGAAGACGGGCTCATGTCCTGGTGGAACACAGTTGAGGGTAGAGGGCACATTTTATATCTTTGAATATGTATAAACACATGTTACAGCTGTTTTCAAGATGGGCAGAAAGTAACTATTGTCAATAGCAATGACTGAAAGTGAGTGACACATTGTTGCCACAGTAAAGATTAACACGTTATACTGTTACTTTCAACAACCTGGCTTGAACTTAACCCCATGTTAAGTTCCATATCACTCAGTGCTGTGTGTCACTATGGAGACACCTCAGACTAATGTTTAACATCAACCATGAATAAACCTGCATATCACCGTGAATATCACCGTATAGCAATTTTATTGAGCAATGGCTACATGGAACAACCAATGAGAAAGCATTAAAAGTGGCCCCAGCTGCCTGTCATACTGCCACACAAGCTAAACATTAATCATTTTCTAAATATTCTAAGTAGAGTGAGGGCAAACGTAATAATCGTTGACATTGACAAAAGTCAATAATAAGTTAATAAGTTATTAATGCTACTGTTTACACTTTTAGGTTGGAACGAGTGGAACGAGTCGACACAAGATGCAAAGGCGGAAGAGTAAGTCATTTTTATTAAAGGAACCCATTAAAGATTAACCTGACTACAACAACAATAACTGGTTTACTGAGCAGATGTAAAATCAAATATTGACCTTGAAAGGTTTGTCCAAATGAAAATGTAAACATTCTGTCTTTGGTAAATGAGTACTGTATGATTCGCACAGCCTGTGTTTGTAAAACCATTTTTTAATCAGTTTAGCATTTTTCAAAATGTGCTTCCTTGTGTGTGTATGTGCTTGTGTGTGTGTGTGTGTGTATGTGTTTGTGTGTGTGTGTACGTGCACGTGTGTGGTCCCTCAGCGTGGTGGAGGACGCGGCTGATCGTGTCTTCATGGCGGCGCGGCTGTTCGTGGGCCTGTACAACAAACGCGGTGGATCTCTGCAGCAGAAGATCCTGGAGCTTCTGTCTCTGGCCGATGCCGCCGACTTGTTCCACAAGAAGACGGTGACGGCCAGCGTGGGAGGGGGTGTGGCCAGCGTGGCGGGCTCCATCACGACCATCACTGGGCTCGTCCTAGCTCCCTTCACCGCCGGCGCCTCGCTCATAGTGACGGCTGTGGGCATCGGAGTGGCCACGGCGGGGGGCCTCGCCTCCGCTTCAGCCAACATCACAGACACAGTCCACTCCAAAACTGACCGTAAAAAAGTGGAGGCCATGATCCAGGCCTATCAGGACGAGATGAAGGACATCAAAGACTGTCTGGACTTTCTGCAGGTACGAATCTCACAGCTTGCAACGCGAAGAGTCAAGATATAGAAAGCACTTTGTACCATATGTAAGAAGTAACGTTTAATTAATGACTTATTTATAAGTGAATTTATTTTGTGTGATTCCATTATATGAAAATGAACCCAAATCTGTAAATGTTTGTGACCTACACGCTCTAACAAAAGGAAAAATGCTCCAGCTCTGGTCCTGACCAAGATCATAATGATCTGGAGAGGGTCCCCAGGTTCTGTGCTACGGCGACCACTGCTCCTTACAGAGGCCCTTGTGTCATTGGAACGATGGGTCAAATGCACAGGAAACATTCCCCCACAGGGATAATAAAGTTGAACTTACTCATGAACATAATAAATAGTAATAATCTGCATTCCCCTTAACACCTCATCATATGCAATATTGCTCATTTGACTTTGAAGGAAAGTATCACTGTGGGTTCCTTCAAATCTAGTAAATCATTCACTTTTTGGGGGATTATCCTGCAACACATTGCACTGACGGCTCAATTGAACCTCTTTTTCATCCCTCACCTCGGCCTGTCCGCTCTGCTCCACAGGAGGGCATGGAGACCCTGGAGCAGTGGGACTTTGAGCAGTACGCCGAGGCCATCTCCAAGAAGCACCTGAACCAGAACGTCAAGCACGTGATGAAGGAGGGCGGGCGCGCGGGCAAAGCCCTGGTCATCAACACGGAGAGCCTGATCAGCACCGTGCAGGTCCTGAGCGTGGCGGGGAGCGCGGCCAAAGCGGCGCAGGTCATGAGCGTCACCACGGGCGTCATGTCAGGTCTCTTCCTCGCCCTGGACGTCTTCTTCTTGGCCAAAGACTCCATCGAGCTGAAGAAGGGAGCAAAGACAGACTTCGCAGACAAGATCCGCGAGGTGTGCAAAGACCTCCAGGCCGGCCTGCTGGAACTGAACCGGATTAAAGAGGACCTCCAGAAAACCATGGACGGGATCGAGGTGGAGGTCGAGGAGGAAGAGGAAGACGAGGAGGTGTTAAAATCTGACCTGAAAAAACTGGTGGAGCTTGAAGAATGACGCATCTGAATCTAAAAACAATGAAGGGAATTGTAGCGTTTAGACTTTTGGTGACTGACTTTTTACTTGCTGCTTTTAAGTATTTTTTATATTAAATAATGACTTCCTCTTAATTTATGTCAATATGTCAGATCTGCTGTTGTGAGCGTTCATTCAGAGAACCTGCATCTCTCCGTGGGTTTCAGGATGTAAAGTCAAACTGCATATAAGTAGCAAACAAAACAATCTTGGATTCTTAGACTTTTTCATTACGTTTTAAGACATTTTAATGAAATGATTGTAAATTAAGATGGTGTATTTTCAATGAAACTATTTAATTTCAATAAAGTTTCCTCATTTATCTTGAAGTTTTTATCTTTTTCTTTATAAAGTAAAATGCCTCACAAGTGTATGCAATTGTCTTTGCAAAATACGTACTCAAAATGTTATCATATATATATATTTTTTTTTTTAAGCTTAGGCACACATATGGAATTCCTGCATTTTGGGAAAAGAACCAAGGAACAATTTCATTTTTTTATTTATTTGGCATTTTACTTGAACAAGAGATTGTGAACATTTTGTAATCAAAATATCGTAATGAGATGTCTAACAATTCTTGTTCTAATATAATAATCTATAAAAGACCTACATCACGTCTACATGATTTTTTTGGGCTTATTTTCTTCATGTATTAAAATCATCAAGATTTTAACTACAAATAAAAGTAGCATTAACATCTAAGGCTTAGCTGACGCACGCAACGAGACAAGGACGTCGAGGTAACGGAGGGAAAGGATACGTTTGAGATCCTTGATTCGTCCCAGAGGGGAAATTTCAGTGTTGCATCAAGATACAGTACAGTAGGAATGAGGAGCCCACGACACATAAGTGATTATTAAATACAGCACGAATACAGCACAGGCCTGAATTAAAGCAACTTGTCCCTCTCATAAATTAGCACAATGTTATAGCCATGGCGATCATGTGAACACGACAGACTCAAAAAACTTTATTTTGATTACATTTGATATTTATTCTATTGAGAAAAAACTCTTAAAATTTCCAATCCTCTTGTGAGGTCATACGTGGGAAAAAACTTGAAGTGTAACATTGTCTCTGTTAACGCAAATAGAATGGTGATTCATGTTACGCGCCCCGTTTCCTGTCAAGACGCATAGCTGTGGAATGTGAATAAATACCAAGACTGTTTAGATTTTGTGGCAGTTGATGCGATGTCATTTGCTGCCCTTCCCAAATTTGGCATCTGTCCATCCATTATGTTGTGTTTACTTCAAGAAGTCATCGAACCTTAATACACTTAATACACACTAGAGGAACAGGTTAGAAGTGTCTCCACTGTAGGAAAAATATACACATTCTTATCTTGTTTGTACGGAATGTATGCGCCTTTGCGTGTGAGATGTGTTTCTCTGTCTCTGGGTTTGTTTTCTCCAGGTGCTCTTTCCCACACCTGCTAAAACACTACTCACATATCCTCTAGCTAAAAAATAATATAACAATTGTAAACCGCTTTGTGACTCTGGTCTATGAAAGGCGGTATATAAATAAAGACCACTTACTTACTCACAAAAGGTCCTGACCAACACAACTACAGTATATCTGGAGATGGGTCCCTGGACGCTGCTTTGGAGGGATGGGTCCAATGCTGAGGACATATTTATGGGAACTATAAAGTATTGCAGGTGAAACTCAGAGAATGTATGTACAACTGTTGATAATCGTGGCTTGCAGCTTATATACATGTATGTAAATGTATGTTGCTTTGTTTCTTATGAGTCGAATTCACAGTCACAATTTTAAGTTGATTTACATGAATAAATTAACTTTTGAACAGTTTTTTTTATTTTCAGAGTTTCCCCTGTGTCTCCTCTTGTTTACTTCGGTCATTTATTGTAAAATGGATCCACTCCTAATTTCAGGCTTAGAACATACTGTAGGTGGCGATGTCTGGTGAGTTGGAGCGAGAGGAGAAAGAAATCTGCCCTCTTTCATAATGGAAGCGCTGCCTCGGTATTTGTATGAGCCATAGTCTTTATTCAAACCAGAGCGGCAAGTTCAGAACGTTAAAGACCCAGGAATGTTGTTTGACCATGTATTGTTCATTGTGCCGCCATACGCATTTGCGCAATTGATTCAGTCCAGGTTAAGTCCTTTCTTTGTTTGTTTGGATTTGTTACGCTTGGGTTGGGTTTCTCGTCATGCCACTTCTAACATTGACCTTAGGTGTTAGTCAGGAATCAATTTGTCTTTTAAATGTCAAACAAAATACGTGATTATTGTGAATATCTCTGGAGCGTGAACACAGTTTACCACGGTCACAGTTTTGTGAATTAAAGTTGAAACCATTCAGATTCAATACTATTTTTAGATTTAGATTTTAATACTATTTTTAGACTCCAGCATTCAACGCTATAATCCCACAGCCGCTAACACTCAGACTGGCTTCTGGACTTTGATGGGGAGACTGTCAGCATTAAGTCCTCCAAAACCATCACACTGAATGCAGGGGCTCCCCAAGGCTGTGTGCTAAGTCCCTTCCTGTTCACTCTACAGACACAAGGCCACTCTCCAAAGTACGACTCTAACCTGTTTTTTGCGTGAGTCTACTGTGGAAATAAGGATGATCAATAGACAATAGAAAATAAATATTTTCCCAACCACAACTCAAGCAGGTTTTAAAACTGTCTCCAGTCCAGCTCTTACCTAAACTTCACCTCATGTAACATTGCAGATAACATTCCACTTTCAACCAAAACAAAACCAAACCTTTTTTTTCCCACTTTCATTTAATTGATATCTGTGCCTTCGAATCTGACCCCACCAATCTAAGCTTAAAAGGCAGTTGTTTATACTGCCGTCTCAGACTACTGCAGTGGAACCACAGAAGACATGTATCTCAACAGCTTATTTTATTCATATTTATTATACATTTGATGTTATCAGAATCCACTTTGATTAAAAAGTACAATTTTGTCTACCTTTGCTGATGTAATATTTTTGTTACTTCCAGAGAATGTGTGGTCAGCCTGATTGGCCACGCCCCCTTGTGTCCGGTGGTCTCGATTGATGCTGTGGCTGCCCCACTTTCTGATTTCAATGGTGTTTGTTTTGAGATCCAATGACCCAAGACCAGTGGGGCGGGAGGCGGGTCCCGGCTCAAAAGTGGCCAAAATGACGTGCGCTGACATGCTTGCAATACCACCCCGGGCCGAAGAATTAGCCAATGCTAACATATAGCATTAGCTGACCTCTCGAAAACGTCTTTAGAGGATGGACCAAAAGTTGGCTCTTTTTGGACCACTCTGGTTTACTTGCTGTGAATTTTTGAAGTCTCTCGTTCAAATGAATGGAGCTATCGCCGGCTGACGCATGCGCAGATGCGTTTTTTCACAATTTGTTTGTGGGCGGGACCACTCGCGGCCATTTTGGATTGCTCCAGTAGAGCACATTTTTTTGCCCATTAGTTAGAACGCCGGAGATAGGTGTTACTCTGTCCATTAATATGCCCAAGACCTGTCCGTATCCATAATGTGGTTATTGTTCTTGCAGTGATCTGAAATAAGTAGAGTTTTTTTGATTTGCTTGTTCCTTCCCAACCCCAGAGTTGATGTTTCTGTTTTTGTGTATGAAATGCGCGTCCTGCTTTTGTTGCATTTTAGTGACAGCCAAATCTAAAGTTGTGGATTTTTTATTCCAAAACAGGGAATCTTAGTAACAATGACATTTCAACCAGAAATCTGACTTACTAATATTCTGACAGTTTAGTTTCAGGTGACTTGTAGACAGAACAACTCTCCTGAACAATGCTGATTCATTGTGTTTCAGATTAGATCTGAGTGACACAACAGGAACAAACCAGAATTACGTGAAGTGGTCAGAGGACTTCCTGATGGATGATAATAAATCAAACATTAAATACTTTAACAGGCAAAAGTCATGGACGGTCAAGAATGTAGCGTCCATTTGAACTCCAAAAGTCAGGGTCAGGCGCCACATCCTCCAGTTTATAGTCAAATGTGTGAGGTATTATAACAGTATAAGTTATGGAAGATGTGTTTTTCCTGCATCAGACCTATGAAGCTAAGCAGGATAGGACTTGGATAGTCCTGTGATGGGAGAGCTCTGGGAACACTGGGTGCCACAGTGGGGCAGCTGCGGCTGTAAAGTAACAAACTGTTGTTGTGTCTTTGGTCAAGACACTTCACCCACATTGCCTAGAATGAGTCTGGCGTGTGAATGGTTGGTGGTGATTGGAGGGGCCAATGGCACATACTGGTTGCCTCGCTTCAGTCAGTGTGCCCCGGGGCAGATGTGGCTTTATACCTTATATGGAGGGTATGAATAGTGACATATGAAGTGCGTTGTATAAAACTGATGCATAATAATAATAATAATAATAATAATACTTATTATCATTTTATTTTCTTATTATTATTATCATCATTATAATCTTTTCTGAATTCAAGACTGAAGAAGCAACGGCTAAATACACACAAATGCTTTTATTTTTTAAGACATGTCATTCATGTCAACTCAATTTGAAAAAAAAACCCAACAAACCATTGACTCAAGCAACCTGCTCGAGATGGAGAGCGATTGGAGAGAAATGGAACAGAAGTAAAAGTACCAATAAATGTCTAATTCCTTTCTTCTGGCTCTTCTTGATGCAGTGGAGCAGCGTATCTAGTGTGAGCTCCTGTGTGTAATGTTTTTTCATAGGTCAAAAGGAGTGAGCTCTGCTGTGGTTTGGGTTTACAAGGTGCTCTTAAGAATAATAGTTTTAATTATTTCCATTTTAAAATGTTTGTGATTGGTATTGGATTGTGACTGTTTTTGTTGATTTTTGATCACTGCTCCGATTCAGTTCTGACTCATGAGTTTCACAATGTGGTATTTGAGAAACCGGTTTCACTGGCAATGGGCCACTCTCAAGCCACCACTTTAGTTTATGCAGGTGAGGCATTTTTATATAATTGCCCTAATGTTTTTGTAATACT